GAGGATGTGGGGTGGCCACCTATTGAGAGGGCTTTCTCTTTATTCAGTCATCACTGGTTGAGACCTGGAATCAGAATTTTAAAGCTCAAAAAGACCTACATTGACCCAGATCTTAAACATCCTCTGTTACAAACTTTGACTTTTTCTAAGTGGTATTGTTTGCTTTTATAAATAGTTATCCATTTTAAGCTATGTTAATGCTAAGAACTATACATCACAATTTTATTTCTTTTGTTTTTAAGCCTTATGTTATAGTTTTTTTGTTGTTTTTAAATAAAGAAGCACACCATGACGAGAGATCAGAGTTGATGAATGAAACTAAAGCCATTTCTCTGACAAACATCACACAAATCAGGTATTCAAAGGACAATACTATTTCTGATCATGGCATGAAAGTTCCTTTCTAAACTGGGTCATCATGAAACAATGAACGTAAGTGTAATCAGCACAATAAACAATAATAAGCTAGTGTAAGTGGTGGACAGTGTGTTCACAGCGAGTTCCTGACCTGTGATAGTGTAGCTTCTGATTTCTGGCCTGATGATCCTCTGGATTGGAGTCTGGCCATTGGCTGGGATGGCATCAACCTGGAAGCCAGTGATTGTCTCGGTTTTGGTTCGCCAGCTAATGGTGATGGTGGTCTCAGTAGCATCTGTCACACGGGCCCTTCTTGGAGGGCTGACATCTGCACGGGATCATAGCTGGAGATTAGTGCCTCCTTGACTCCCACGTGTAAGGTTTTGGTATTTTAAAATATTTCTTTATTGTACATCAAATACATTCATTCCAAAAAATAAATAAATATTAATGGGTAGGTTATCTCCTTGGGCATTCAGAGAGAAAGGTCAATAGTAACTAGAAAATATGAAAATATTCACCTGTCATGCCTTTTCTTTTGCAAAAGCTTTATAGATACTACCAGTGTTCCCAGGCCTGGCTTTCTGGTATCTACAAATATTTCCGTAAGTATGAAAATTCTTAACTTATTGTAATGTAATTATTACTTATTGTCATGTAGGAGTTAAAATATGTAACATGGCCAGCTTGCAATTTTACCGATACAGCAGAAAAGTAGAACCTAAGTCCAATTTGGTGCAATACTTATTGTACTTTACGATACAGCAGGATCCAGTGTGTCCTCAAATTACAACAGACAGAGCACCAACTAGGTATTATACTGCTCTATAACATCAATGTTATAACATTATAAAGTGGTTTCATTTTATGTGCCAGCAAACCACTTTCCGGAGGGTCATGAAAGGTGGCAGTGGTATGCCAAAAAGATCAGTTTCTATACTAGGAATTGTACCACTGTTAACTTAGTGATATAAAAAAATTCACTTACCATTCTTTAATTTTTGTTTGTACAGAAGGTCTGTCAATACTAAAATGTTTGATTACTTACTCTCCAGAGTGGTGACGACTCCCTGAGCTGGTCTGCTTGTCAAAGTGTCCTTAAGAGCGTAGACACTTACTTCATACTTGGTGGCCACCTATAAAAAAGGGCACGGTGGGCTTTAACAGTGTCATCTGAAAGGCTGAGATTTTTTATGCAGCATTATGTAAACACGATGGTATCAAAGGAAAGATTCAGTAGTAAAACCCAACACACTGCAAATTGCTAGATTAATTTCACTTCTATACAGCAGGTAATCAACAACGTATTTAAATTAAATGAATTTACAAATGCTCTTAGGAGTTAAGCCCAAGAAAGCTACTGCTCACACACTTACAGTAAGCTGATAAAAAATGAGGAAAATCGTATTAGCCTGTTTTTCCCCTTTAGGATCTGACAGGTGCAAATCATTAATTTTCTCTGCTCATTGGCAAAAGGAGTGTTCTGCCTCTGAAACCTCTTTCTCTAGTTTTCCCCGGAATCGGCCTCATGCTAAGATGTGCACCAATCCCCAGGCTCCTCGCCAGTTTTCTGCATGCGCAGCTAGAAGGAAAACATTTTAACCAAAGGAGGGCCAAGTTGGGTTGGTACAAACTGGAGAACATTCCTCTCCAAGGTATCAGAGTTCAGAGCACGCATCGCCAAAGTGGCTTTAAGCACTCAGCCTGTGGATGCGTAAGGGGTCCTCCCACACATACAATCTTAGAATTCATCTAAAAGCTACACACATTCCAAAGCAAGTCATAAAATTCTGTCTCAATATATAGCCATCTGGAGAAACGTAGGTCAACACGAAGGAGTCTTACTGATACAACATGACAATGAAATTGTGTGCTGGCAGAGGGGGGAAAGCACAATTAGATTTATTATGACAATTCACAGGACAGGTGCCTATGAAAAAGATTTATGATGATATTACGTTTCCGACACCTTATAGACTATGGCACAGATGACTACTTCTTTATTCTAATGAAAGGAGAACACTGCGTACCATGAGTCCTGACACAACCACCGAGGAGCTGTCGGGAGAAAGGTTGATTTCCTTCATTGGTCCAGTCTTCTCCTTGGGGGTCACCCGCACGCGGTACCCAGTGAGCTGAACGTCGGGGGCGGTCCACTCGGCACTCAGGCTCGTCGGTGTGACCTGAGTGAACTTCAGGTTGGTTGGTGCAGGAATAGCTGCCGGGAGGGTCATTGGTTAGAGGTTATCTTATAGGGAATGGGGGAAAAGGACAGCAATGGGAATTCCAAGAAGTAGAATGGATTGTTCTTGTTGGGTTAGGTGAGTTCCCTGGTCAAGCAAAGATTCAGTAAAAGAAAGTACAAAGGAAGCAAAATGAAGAAAATGCTTATTGGAAAAAAACGTGTTTTATGTCCACCGATTCTCAGAGTCACTTGGGAACACTTGGGTAAATGCCAGAACTTTAAGAGGCATTAAGTTTTAGGAGGTTTTTGTTGTTCTTGTTGCTGCTGCTATTTGCTCTTAAAAAACAAAAATGTCGAATTGGCTTATTGGCTAGTAGGACTGATTTTCCATTTGTATAGAAAGATGAGCAAGAGCCCTCTTTCTATACAAATTATCTTTGTAGGGAAAACCATTTCACAGAGTATTCCATCCAAGAAAGATAGAATTATGTTTTTATTGTCTCTTTATTTGGATCCCATGGCAGATATCACTACTAAACTTGAAGTATTCTCTGCGGTGCAGCATAGGAAGAAAATTGGCTCCCAACAGAAGCAGGAAAGAGAAGCGGAGAGCAATAATACAGATTGTCACCTCTAGGGTTTATGCTGCCACCAGGACACATCTTTAGCATTCTGCTCTGCTTTAGAAATAAAGCACAGGAGGATAAAGTACTGTGGAAAGCACTTGTCCTGTTGATTATTTCCTAGGCATATGAATCATAATTATTTAAGCAAATTATCCACTGGCACACGAAGAAGAAAGGTCTTACCCATGTGTTCTCAGAATCCTGCTGCTATGAAATGCCCCAGTTGGGAATCCTATTTTAGAGTAAGCTCTATGATGTCAAACTTCTTTTCTTTAGACACAGTGGGGGCAACCACAGGGAGTCATAGCTTAGAAGATAATCCACAATTTTAGTGTCATCTTCAAACGTCTTGCTTTGTAAGCCAAGGTACTCCAAAACTTCTTTTTCCCAGACTTGTTTATCTAAGGATCGCCTATGCTTTGTTGTCGGTTAGCATTCCTCTTTGAAGAGGATCTTTCCTAATAGAACCAATAGCCCAAAAGAGTATAGGTCATTCAGCAGGGCATAAAGCCGCTGCGCCCATGAGCACCTGGGTGGTGCGATTCACGATATACCTGTGGACTGGGTTCCAATCAGGGGCTGGCTCTCCATGTCACCGTGCAAGGCCACCACACTGACTGTGTACTCAGAACCCGGCCTGAGGCCTTGCAGCTCTGCTGTATCTTCTTCACCATCAGGTGCAGGGAATAGCTCATGGATTCCATCCTCAGGGCTCGAGTAGGTCACCCTGTACCTGGAAACTTGCCCCTGTGGGCTTTCCCAGGCAATTTTGATGGAATCGACATCCACATCAGTGAATGCCAGTCCTTTAGGGCGATCAATGTCTGTTAGGCAAATTAATGGTAAGAGGTTATGTGAAAAGCAAGTTGTGAAATAAGCATTTTTATAACATGCAAAGCAGTTTTGCAGACACCATTTTCTTTGATGTATTAAACTCCCATGAACCCACTAAGAAATGGAAAATTACGGAACACTTGCTTAAATTTTTTTCAGTTTAGAAAATATTAAATGCTGCATCACTTATTAAAACCTAAGTGTAAGTGAGATGAGTAGACACCCTAAAACATGTCTTCCCAAATGGGGATTTGTTTCTATTAATTTAAAAACATTCTACCAAGATTTGTTTTTGCAATGTGATGTTAGTCTCATAGACCTGGATTTTCTATACTTTAGAAGTGGTAAAGTTGATTTTCCATGTTAGATCTGAATTGTTATTATAATCACGCTTACATTCTTCCTTTCCCCTTGCTGTTATGTATTTATATACATGCTGGTCCAGCCACAGTCCTCCAAATGTTCCAAATCTGATAGCTACATGAGGCACACTGCAATCAACTTTACCATCCAGTCATAGAAAAGAAGGTCCTAGCAAAATATTTTGTAGATTTGCTGTAGGCAAATAAGATTCTGTTGAGGCCATTTGAGCAAAAGAAATTCAAAGCACAGCAGCTAACTATGGTAGTCTCACATCCTCTTTCCCTTTAAGTTTATTGCTTGCCACTGAGAAGGAAAATGTTTATAAAGGACTCAGCTCAGGATACGGACTCACCAATAAATTGGCTTTCCCTATGCATAACTGCCAAAGACATGCGGAGGGCATTCAGATACTTAAGGACAAAACCTGACATTGAAAATGGAAAGCAAACAGTGGTTACGTACTGGTTACTGCAGTCTGGACCAGAGGCTGACTCTCTCCGTTTCGATTCTGAGCATAGACACTAACTACATACTCGACGGTGGGCTGCAAGCCTTCAATGGTCATTTCTGTCTGGTCTGCAAAGGAAGAGAAAAGCAAATGCCACATCTATACCACTCACTGTGCGCGCCCTCTAGAGCTTGGTGACAAGCACATGGTGCCCTGAAATTTCCATTTGCAGATTAATCATGAAAATGAAGAGGAGTCAGATTATCAATATCCTCTTGGACAAATCTACTCGTCGCTAATACAAATGACCACGTTGGAGTAAAGACACACTCAAGAATATTCTCTAAAACCTAACATGCCCCTGATGATGAATGATACTGCTCTTGAGAAAAATAAAAATTAACTTGACTTTAAGAGATTGCCTTGAGATGCCAATCTGACAAGTATTTTATATAGAACAAAAACAGCAGAGGTAAAAGAATCTGAAAGTCCTTCCAGCCCTTCCTCTCCTCTTAGTGTGTGTGAAAAACGAAGCCATAAGGGTGGTTCTAATAATTTGAGAAGCCACATCACTAAATAAAAATAGCCACATCACTACACATACAAAAATAGAAACATGCTGATCCTAACATTTCTTTTTTTTATTAAACCATAGCTGGATACATTAATGCAGTCATGGAGTATCCGAACATTTCTACTGTGAGGTGAGCTGGTAACAATCTTGAGCCATGACCTTGTGAATGGAGAAAACAATGACATATGGCACAAAACACACAGTGCTCACAGCACGGTGGTCATCTGTTGGTCCTACTTTGTTTATCCTGTTGTATATGAGACGCTGGTTATTCTTACCTGGACTTGCCATTTTGGTTTTTGATGGTCCTGGGCCATTTTTGGGAGTGGTGGTCACTCGGTAACCGGTAACAGGAGAACTTGAAGGCAGCCATCTGACACTAATGCTGTTGTCCTGAACATCAGTCACTTGCATCTGAGATGGTTTGTCAATTTCTACAAATAAGGGCAAGGAAAAACCCAGTGAAGTCCCAGTTTGGGGGATCATGACTGGGCACATCCTGTCTCTAGATCTGGTACATATTAGACCGCTCTCTTAGGGCTGTTCATCTCTCCAAGGTGTTTCTGTCCGCAGATTACAGACGGCTCCGGGGATACGGGCATGCACCCGAATACTATTACCTACTTTTTGAGACAGTTGCTTCATTAACAAAGAAGCTACATTCCAAGCAGGTATCTATTTTCTTACTCTATGAGCTCATCCATTTATTTCCCCACAAATATTTACTGAATGCCCTCTACGCCCGTTGCAAGCGTGTGGAATATATCAATTAACAAAACTGACAGAAATTCCTGCCCTAGGGGCGCTTCCTCATAGATCTGGCTCAAAACTCTGTTAGCTGTGGGTGTTAGCTGCAGGTCGTAGACTTATTAAAAAGGAAAATCAATTTTACAATGAGGAAAATACCTGGGGAGAACACTGTAAAAACTATCAGAATAAATAAGCCTGGGTAACCCCAGAGGAGGAGTCTGTACCTGTTCGGTAATTGATGGAAATTGGCTTGCTGCTGGCTGGGCTGTCCCCACGGCCAGTGACGGCGTACACAGTGATGGTGTAATCGACTCCGGGTTTAAGGCCGGTGATGGTAGCTGTAGACTTGCTCCCAGGCACAGTGATCTCCTGGACAGGGCTATTTCCTCCTGTGTGACAAAGGGTTAGCTCAGAGTGTAAGGGGCTCGGAGTTCCTTTGGCATCCCTGATTAATTGAATTAACATATAGAAAGCACCGTGTAAATCACATCTTTCTGCTTATTCCTTTCTAAAGGGTACTATTAACACGTCCTGAACAGAAAGGTGTATTTATGCATGTGGTAAGTATATAAAAATTGGGAGAAAATTACAGTGAATGTTATTTTTAACATTCCAGCTTTAAAATGTCACTGAGTTGGACTAAATTAGCATTCAACGGGGAAGAAAGTGAGCCTCCAGCCCAGGATTGCATATGATGTGTGCTTTTTAAAAATTCTAATGGAATATACGCGTGTTGAATAAAATTTAGAAAAATACACAAAACTAAAAAGAGAAGGAAAAGATCACTTGGTTCACCACCACCAATCAGATATTTGTGAATTTACAGTCCTTTTCCCCTCAACTCCAATGTTTCCCTTCTAGTTGTATTACATAAACAACTTTTTATCTTGCTTTTGTAACCAATTCTACCATCTATGTCTTTAGGCTTTCTTGGAAAAGACAGGGCCGTACTGATGGGGCTTGCCAAAGTTTCTTTAATTACAAGGGTCCACCGTTGGGCCTCCAAGGTTACCTACAACAGAATCTGACTGGATCAGGATGAAATGGCATTTCACTGCTGTACCTGTTTCTCCATAGGTGATCCTGTAATACCGCACGGTGACGGCAGGCGCATCCCAGCTGATCAGCAGGCTGGTGGGGGTGGCAGCAACCACTTCCAGGTCCCTCGGGACATCAGAAACTAGAAGGGAACACGAGACTATTTTCACGTCCATCATTTTCAAATAATACTCAGATTTACTCTGTCGGTTTTCCAGATAGTTGGCTTTTAGATTATTTCAAACGAGAACGTACAGACTATGTGAAAAGAGCAGAGTTACAAATCATGAATAATTCAAGGCAAGAGGTTAAGGAGCCCATTCATGTTGTGATAAAATGATTATTTCAAATTTACTGTAGGGCTTTTTTCCTCCCAAAGTTTTATTTTGAAAAAATTTCAAAACTAGAGAAAAGTTACAACAAGAATGCAATGAACACTCTGCGTGCTTCTCTCAGCTATTTGCTAATTGGCGACATTTGCCACATTCTCTCTCCCCCTCTCCCTTAACCAGTCGAGACCAAGATACAGGTACCAGGATGCTGCTGCTCCTCTAACCACGTCAGCATCTATTCCCGAAGAACAGTGATGCTATGATGCTAAAATTACATTTTTAAGGGCCCTTTGAAACGGTGTTAAGTTTTCTACATTTTTAATAGAACTTGATATATTAGAAATACAAAAATACCTAAATCATGTGAGAAATTTCTCAGGATAAAGAAATTACCTTCTAGAATATATTCTAAGAGGGAGATTTTTCTCCACATCCTCTCGCTTCCCTCTCCATGTCTCCTAAACGAGATCTATTTTTTTAAGAGATGCCCACAGATAACATCAAGCTCTTTCACACAACACACAGACTGTGTCAGAGAGGACTGAGACCAGAATACCTGTTGATTGCTGGCCAACCAAGGCAGGACTTTCCTCTTTGCCATTAACAGCGATGATGCTGACCACATACTCTGTGCCCGGATTGAGGTTGGTGAGGGTGATGGAATTCCGAGAGGGAGGCACTCGGTCTTTCCGAGGTCTTCCACTCTGGTGCTCAGGGTGATGGCGGATCTCATAGCCAGAGATGGGGGCTCGAGGCGCCATCCAGTGGACAGTGAAAGAATTGGGGGTAATATCAGAAAAGTCAATGCCGGTTGGGGAATCAAGGCCTGTTTTTCCCACCCAGGGGAGGAAGAGAGAAAAAAAAAGATACCACCAGATTAGGAAATGGGAAGACTGTAGGGAAAGTAACCGTGTCCAACATTTCTGTTCTTTTTCATCAATACCATGGTTTGCCATAAACCTCAGATTATGATGAGAATTTAGTGCATTTTTGGAAAATTAATAAGAATTGAGAATTATCTCAAATTCAAATCACTTAGTCTTTCTGGGATTTCTAGTCTGTTCCCGTTATAACATTCACTCATTCTATTGAATAATCGACTGATGCCAAGTATTATAACTCGTGCTTGAAGGCAGGTGAACTATAAACTAATGAATATAGTAAACTGTCCTTTCTTTAAGAAAAAAAGACATTCATATTTAAGAAAGGATATGATATTTAGGGTACTCAATTCAACGTCTTTCTTGTCACAAATGAATATTTTATCAAACTGAAAGAAGACATGAACTTGCTGGCTTAGTAACAGAATGAACATACAGAGCTGATAATGACCGTGTCAGGGCAGCCATCGGACAGAGCAGCCTGACGGAGAGGGAAGTCCACCAAATTATCTAAATAACAGAGAACGAGATACTCTTCTCGGGACATGTTTTTTTAAAGGGTAGATAACAGAGTCTCCGGACTAATTTGTTAGTGGTCAAAAGTCTGGGTAATTGTTGATAAGGCATCGTTTAATTTTTAAAACAGTGATAAAAAGTACTATAATGACAAGTCTATACATATTACCACCACCCAAAACAGGGATATGTTTTTATGTCCCGTAACAAGAGATGTATTTTTAGAAGTAACATTTCCTTCTGCTATTTAACATTGGTGGGTGAAAGCTCCTGGATAAGTGTATTGCCACCACGACTCACCTGTTTTCTGTCTTCCTTTAAGAGGCGTGCTCTCGTGTTGCTCGTACACACTGGAGACACTGATTAAGTATTCCGTGCCAGGCAGGAGATCTGAAGAGGCAAATGGGACTTATTTTAAACTTGTGCTTGAGAGGTGGTGAAAAAATGACGCACTCCTGGGACTATTCCAACTGATGAAATATCTGAGCATCTAGCCCTATAGCTTCCTTACACCTAAGGGAATGTCACTGCCTGGAGAGGTTCTGAAATGAGGCAAAGAGGAAGGGTCACCTTGCCCCGCAGCCTCTCTAAGCCCTGCCCTCGTCCCTCCTCTGTGACTGTGCCTCAGCCAGGCGTGGAGTCACAGGCAGTGGCTGCAACTCAGTACTATTTCTCTCACCCCCCTGACAGCAGGTCTGTTGAAGGCACAGGGTAATAATTACTGTGGCGTGTGGATTATCAATTATGCCTCACAAGACCCCTATAATGTAGTTTGTTGCTTTTAAAAGCAGCTCTATTGCCACAGGAAATATTGTACATACTTAAAGTGTACAGTTTGATGGGTTTTGACATAAGTAGAACTTATGAAACCATCACTATACTCAGGATAATGAACGTATCTATTACCTCCAAAAATTTGATTTGCTATAGTTATCTCCATTTTATAAATGAGAAAACTGAGACACAGATAAGTCATCTTCTTTATTTTCCCAAGATCATACAGGGGTAGACTTAGGACAGGACCAGTGGTCTTAGTGAGTAACCTTTACTGCAAAGGACCCACGGTCCAGAGGGAAAGCAATCAGAAATCACATTGCTAGGCGATGTTATCATAGTGTGAACACCTCAGAGTGTACTCACACCAATCTAGCACTGTAGCCTGCACACCCAGGCCATCGGGTATAGTCTACTGCTCCGAGGCTGCAATCTGTACAGCATGCACCGTGCTGAATGCTACAGGCAACTGTCACACGGTGGTAAGGATTTGTGTCTCTAACTAAAGAAAAGGTACAGTGAGAATATGGTATTGTAATCTTACAGGACCACTGCCATATGTGAGGTCTGTGGTTAACCGAAATGTCAATATGTAGAACAGAAATGAGCCAAAAAGATGCAGAGTAAAGTTTCTACCCTTTGAACACCTACCCACAAGCCACTCACTCCCCTGCACATCGACACCCTTCAGCCTTTCTGCACAGGCTCCTGCAGGGCTTGGAAGAGTGGTAGGCAGGGGCCTGAATATGGATGTGTGGATTCCTCTTCCTCCTTTCTCTAGGGCCAGGGGCAATGTCCTAACCACTGGGGACCTGAATTGCTTCTTTTAAAAAAGAGGATAATAATGACACCTCTAGGAGGGAAAAGGTCATTTGCTGCATTAAGATCATAATAAGGTCTTAGGACACATGCTTAACACGTGACAGGCCTATAGCTTAGGTGGGATAGCGTCGTGACATAGGGCTTGTACACTCGGTGATGCTGTTACCACCGATTCCCAAGTGCTCTAAGCACCAGCCTGTGGACCTGGATATGCAGACAGAAAGATGTTCTTGTCTTCAGCCACGGTATGAGAAGCCACGATCATGGTTATGCTGAGCTGCTTAACTTGGTGTCTGTTTATCCAAAACATGTTTGAAAGAAGGAGGGTATTTTCAGACCATCCTTTGGTAACACACCTAAATGTAAGCCAGTTTTCCCTCACTGAGAGTCTGGTGCTACTGTTCTAATATACTTTACTATCACAGTACAGTGAAAATAGCCAAGAAGTAATGTTTCTATGAAACTCTGCACCGTGCTGCAGCTCACTCTCATTTTCTTTCTAGTTCCAAAATAGGTGAAACTAGAAAGAGACAACTTTCATACGTTGTTGCTATTTACTTAATGTCACTTAGAAAACATCTAAGTCCTTAGCCTTCTGAGAAATCCGTCCAATAGATTCTTTATGAACATTAAACTATTGACTCTTTCTTCAAACGATTGGCTCTTTCTTCTATCCCAATCAATCAGTCAACATTTCTAAGTTTTCAAAGGCTAAATAGATCATCTGCTGACACTTAAAACAAACTGCTCTGAAATCCTCACTTCTTTCTTTCTCTAAAGGTTTGGATGTAGTCGTGTCATTTCTTTCGATATTCACTTATTTGTATGTGCTTATTTGGGAGCCAAATTTAACAGAAGTCTTGGGACTTCTCTGCCAGTGTGTCTCCACTTTGATTTCTGAAAAGTTGAAGGCATCAAAAAGTATATGAAGATGGCAACAGACAGTACATTTTTCAAAATGTATGGCGCTGCAGGTGAAACGAGGTCCAGCCTGTGGCTCCCCTGCGGCGCCCCTGTCCTCAGCTGCCCCTCCTTGAGCACTCGGGATTCATTTGCGTGCTCTAGGTTAGTATTCATGGAACTGGCATGTTCCACTGCTTACTTGTCAAGACCACCACGTTGTCTGAGGGAGAAATGGACAGCTCTGCCACGTCGTCCTCATTTTTCACGGGTGAGTAGCGCACCACGAAGTTGGTCAAATCGATGGAGGCGGGCGGGGCCCAGGTGACCCGCATGGTGTCCGGGCCGATGTTGGTGAATCGCAGGTCAGTGGGAGGAGGGACAGCTGGTTTCGAACAAGAAAGCACACTAAGTGAATGGAATTTTACAAGTCGTGCTAAAGAAAAAGGCTGAAAAGGTAAAACCGATTTTTCATGCACCAAAGAAACAGAGTGATAATCATGCAAAACAGTCCAATCTAAATCTCCGCTAAATCACAACGTACTACTACTGTTAAAAATAAAATGTTACACATAGTACTGTTAGGCCCCTTTAACTTTCTGCCATGATCAATGTGTTTTTTAAAAAATACTTTCAATCTACTTTAAAGTATGTTGATTTTTAAGTGCATTGTTAATAACACTGAAGATTATTTTATCCCAGGCCGAGGAGGCTTAAGTTGCCACACAGCAAAGAGAAACATAGCAGTACTTTCCAAAGAAACACATGCACACAGACAAAAAGACAAGAGGGTCCTACATTTCCCCCAGATGTCTACAGCTACTGGCAAAGCTACAAGGCTATCCAGTGAGTTCTACTTACAAGTGAAAAGGGTTCATGCAAATTGGTTCTCAGCGGTGTTTCTTCCCATGCAGGGCAGAGAACCTTTCAAATGTTGCATGCTTGTCCCCAGACTGTGGTTAAAGAGGTGTTTCTTTACCTTGGGATAGCAACAAAGCCTAGTATGCTCCAAACTTTTTCTCCTCCCTTAAAGCAACCTCCAAGCACCCTACCCTAAATTTTGATGGGTTTTTACTCAGCCACAAAGAAGGAAATGGTAAGATTACCAAAGCACAGAAGGGAGAGATGATGGTATGATTGGAAGTATATTTCTTATAATTAACTGGTGCTTATTATACAATTAGGCATTCGGGTTAGCCTTTTTCAAAAAAAAACTCTAGGTTTGCAATTTAATCAATCTTTGCTATCTTATATTTAATAGGCCAGATATCTAGATTTCTTTAGCTCTATATGGATATTTGTGGTTTCAGTGAAAGTGCCCTTAAGATTACTTCATACTTTTTTTATCCAGTCAGTTTAGAGTACACATTTGATTCCTCCTTCCCCAATCCATCCTGTCCTAATCTCCGGCCAATTGCTGGCTTCTCTCTGAAACATCCGTAGTTAACCACAGTAACTGGTGGCAGCATGCAACACTGTCCATGGCTCAAACACAGAAGTTTTCAAAATTCACCCGTTTGCTGTGTCAGCGTGGTAGGGGCACTCTCTCCGCCATTAATGAGAGTGATAACGCTGATATCATAGTCAATGCCCGGCTCCAGCCCTGTGACTGTGTAGTATCCTACTGAGGAGTCCACAAAATCTTCAAAAATAGGGATACCTTCTCCTGCTGCAACTACTGTGATGCGGTACCCAATAATGGTGGAAGAGTTTAGCGGGGTCCACCTCAGGCCGATGCTTGAATCGGTTATATCAACAAAGCTTAGGTCAGTGAGTTGGGGCACCTCTATTGAGTTACAAAGCAAAGAGGGGGCAAAAGAAAAATAGAGGCAAAAAAAAAAAGGAAAAAATAAAGCAGTGTATATCAGGTTACCAGTAGTAAATCTGATGGAATGTTAAAGCAATGATGGTAATAAGCGACCCATTTCAAATTCTCTGAAAAGACTTCCTAAACATCATAAATAGTTTTTTTCCCTGGGACAGCAAAACAGGTTACGATATTCTTTCAGGGATTTTCTTGCATTTTGAAAATATCCCTAAACAGTACAGATTGTAACTATTCAGATTTCTAAACATCATAGGCCTGCTTAGGATGTGAAAGCCATTCCTAGAACCCAGACATAATATCTGCAGTGAAGATCAGCAATGCTTTAAAAAGTTCTGTTTTAGGAGGAAAATATAAGCTTGCATAAAGAAGCTTAAAAAAATAATTGGGTGATGAACTGGGTTTTTCTTCTCCCAGACAAAACTCATGACAACATCATGGCCATAACACTAATGGGTTATGAATATTTGGTATGGAATGTGCTATCCAAAGGCCCATTTAGGCCAAGGACAGACAGGCCTGAGATCAAGGCTATTGCCAATATTTTGTTTAACTTACAATCAAAGTTATTTATTTATCTATTTATTGATTTTTCATACAGGGTCTCACTCTCTTGCCCTGGGTAGAATGCCATGGTGTCACAGCTCACAGCAATCTCAGACTCCTAGGCTCAAGAGATCCTCCTGCCTCAGCCTCCCAAGTAGCTGGGACTACAGGTACCTGGCTAGTTTTTCTACTTTTAGCAGAGACTGTCTCAGTCTTGCTCAGGTTGGTCTTGAACTTCTGAATTCGAGCAATCCACCTGCCTTGGGCTCCCAAAGTGCTAGTAGTACAGGCGTGAGCCACGATGCCCAGCCTAATTCACAAAGTTATTTAATCAGCATTAGTAAATGCATTCTGCCAAACAGTGCAAAGGAACATATAATCCATCTAATGGTTTCATTCTGGTACGATCCAGTTTTGGACAAACAACAAACCTATCCCGAGATAGGCCTTTACAGTGTTGTCTTTCAGCCCACCAAAAAGAACACCCTGAAGGTGTGCTCTTTACTTTTTTTCTTTTTCCAATTTAAAAAGGAAGGATTTGAAACTGCAGGATGAAGAATTAGACATGTCAACCAAATGCTATTCCGGTGCTCACCTACAGAGACAAGACTATTTTATAGAGTAGCTACTACAAGTTGATACGGACTGTAAAATCAGGCATGAACATACCGAGGGGCTGTATTTACCATGTTACTTTGAGCCTGTCAACACTGAGTACAGACACATGACAGCGTTTTAGTGATTTTCCACGTGAGCAGACAGTACAGAGTTAAGGCCGTGGCTGCTGCTCCGTTCCATACCCGTGGCGACAAACAGCACCCAGTGAAGCACAGACAGAAAAGCAGTGTTAACAGCAAGCATTTGTCCACACAGCCACCTGACTTCACGGTTTTGGAGAGTGCAGTTGGGAAGTCTGCATCAAATCCCAAATATATCTGACACCCTCAGCCACCTGGGGATTACGATGCTAATCCCCACTCCTACTGAAAGTGCCACTCTGAGGATCACGGTTTATTTTTCTGTTACCTGGGATGATGGTATCAGAGATAGGGACACTTTCCTTGTCATCTTTGACAGTGTAAACGCTGACATTGTATTCCAGGCCGGGACTCAGGTTTTCAAAAGTGCAGGAATTCTGATCGGCATGGACCACTTCTTCCAAAGAATATCCTTGCTGGCCGTTCGTAGGGGTTGTGGTAATTCTATAGCCAGAAATGTCTGCAGTAAACAGAAAGGAGAAGTTACTACACAGAGCATTGGTGATTCAGAGCGTGTTTAACTAGATTCCCATGAATGACCCACAAAGGGAACTGGAAAAAGGACCTTACATTTATTGTCAGGAAGCAGTTCAATGTAACGCCTTCAATTTAAAACAAGAAATGTAGGGAAATGATTACCCAAAGCTTCCCTGCTTCAAATCCCAGTCTTCCTCTACCACTGTGGCTGCTGTTCCTTAACCAATCCCCTGAGGTCAGCTTGGGGACATTCCATTCCACCTGCCCGAGATGGAGTCACTCTCAACCTTAACCACATTTCTCCAAAGAGGGCTCTCTTTATTTTAAAGGATAGAACCTCTTTACAGGAAAAGAATTGAGGGAAAAGAAAAAGGGAAAAGTAAAAATAGTGATACTTATTCTAGAAAGAATAGTAATTACTGATGACTTCAAGAATCACAGAAATTGGGCAGTAAACAAGTTGAGGGGGAAGAGAAAGACATTCAAACAAAAACAGTGATGACTAGAGTTCTGCAGGGCCAGAATGAATGTGAGAAGAGAAAGTGAATTAAAGTTAAACTTTCTAGAGGGCAAGGGAGCGATGGTATGCTTTGTCATTGGGAATAGGGTGAATGCTAAAGTGGTAGATACAAGGTAATACAATTGGATGAGAAATTAGCATTTAGGTCATTGCATTTGCAAGGGACCATCCAATGGGCAGGTTAGAGCACTGAGACTAATTAGTGACCTGGCTGCTAGCAAGCATGAGACTTGCCAAGTTTAAGTTTCAAATTCAGAGTAACTTGACTGGAAGTACTGTATCTTTGGCTTGAACTGTTTCCACAGGTAACAGAAGCTTCACCAAAATCACTCTCCTTTAGAGGGAGATTAAAAAGGATATTTTGAGCTAGTTTCATTCTGTGAGATTGCATACATTGATCAGATTTAGTGATAATTGCCTTCGCTGTGTGCCCACGCACAAAATAAGGACTGTATCAGAAAAAAATTTTATAAAAATTTTACAATAATTTTAGCAGTAAAATTAGAAATATTAATAATTACATGGCGACTTAATACATCCCTTATATTAAGAACTATAGTTGGTAAGGATGCAATCAACATTAGTTGAAACTTCTGTTTGTGCTTAATTCAGAATTTTCTCAAGAACAAGCTCTGTTATATCTCAATAGTGATTCCTTAAAACAATTACATTTTAATACATATTTCTCATCTAAAGAGACTTCCATGTGGTTTTGGCAAAGGTGATAAACAACTAAAATTTCCTGTCATTGCCATAGTCATCATGCTACTTGAATATTTTAAGACCTATCTTTTAAAGATTTTAGCATTTCATAGATAATTTTCACTATGTATGAATAAGGAGGTTAGAAAAAATCTTCATTTCAAGCTTTAAAAAGTGTCAGGGAAGCCTCTAACCAAATTTCTCAGTGTGTACCAAGCATAAATGAAAACAAAACAAAAAGAAAATTAAGTTCCAAATATATAATGTTGCGTGTGAGGAGAAAAAATAGTTATAATCCCAGCTTTGTAACATTTAAACTATGTGACTTAGAGATAGGTTAATTTTTTCTGAGTCTCAGTTCTCTCAGTCTGTAAAACTAAGGCGTTCCTGCTTTTTATCACTCTTGGATTTTTATGGTACAACTCATGACAAAATAGATATTTATAAAAGTTCAAGGAATCATAAACTTAGGATCCACAGTAATTTACAAAAGAGAAATTACGTAATATAACTGCAGCCATTTGTTTGGCAATTTTTAATGCCTTGAACAAAGGGCACCTTCCAAAATGATTTTCTCCATGGCCAGGTGTGGTGGCTCACACCTATAATCCTATCACTCTGAAAGGAGGAGGCGGTCGAATTGCCTGAGCTTGCCTGAGTTCACGAGTTCAAGACCAGCCTGAGTGAGAGTGAAACCCCCTACCCCTTAAATAGCCAGGCATTGTGGTGGATGCCTGTAGTTCCAGCTATGTGGGGGGCTGAGGCAAAAGAATCTCTTGAGCCCAAGAGTTTGAAGTTGCTGTGAGCTATGATGCCATAGCACTCAACCTCAGGGCGACTGAATGAGACTCTGTCTCTAGAAAACAAAACAAAACACCAAAATGATTTTCCCACAGTCCTGCTGATTCCTATGGCTCTCTTGGGCTCTGCCTTTCCCCGCAGCCAAGAGCATGGTTCTCTATGATCTAAGTAAATGTGCATTAAACACTTGCATGCACTGCTCTAAGATGTACGTCATACACTGCTATATTTTTTGTGGTAAGTTGGGTACTTGTAACTTGGACACTTTCTCTGAAATGGACACAGTTTCTAAAAGCTTTGTCTTGGGAAGGTACCGAATATACTTGCCCTCTGACACACCCCTGCCTACCTGGGGTAGTGCTCCTCTCCCAGGAAACTGTAAGAACTCCAGTGTCAGGGTTGGTTTCTAGGTGCAAGTTTGTGGGTGGGGACAATGCTGTGCAGAAAGAAATTTCAATGTCGAGTTAAATCTAACACAACACTCTTGGCCTATAGAATGTTTCCTTCCTTCCTTCCTTCCTTCCTTCCTTCCTTCCCCTTCCTTCCTTCTTTCCTTCTCCTTTCTTCCTTCCTTCCTCTTTCCTTCTTTCCTTCCTCCCTCCCTCCTTTCCCTTCCTCCCTCCCTCCTTTCCCTTCCTCCCTCCCTTCCTTTCTTTTGCAATCAGTAAAAATATAAAAGTTAGAGTATGAAAACATGATTGATAGTCATTCTGTGACACAGACTTTTTTATGACTAATGATCTTACAATGCTGCTGTGCTTGTTTCTGTCTTGCCAGTTCATTGATCTTCTTGACATGGAAAGAACATTTCTGATACCATGGAATATATGGCATGAGCTGCACCTGTTACTCCAAACTTAGAAATAGCTCATCATATAAGTAGGGATGAGATATTTCCCCTGTGCCATTCTCATAGTAAAAAGTGATACTGATATTAGCTCTTATCTAAAAACTAAAAGAAGAGGGAGGAAGAACTCTCCATACGTGTGACCACTGTGTTGACGATCGGCGGATCTCTCTCTTGGCCGTCTCTCAGGACTTGGATGGTGTAGACATATTCCACGCCGGGGGTCAAGCCAGACACTACGATGCTTCCTGAGTCTGAGGTCACTTCTCTCGGTGCTTCCCCTCCCTGGCTTGGCCTTACACCCAGCTAGAAGATGGAGAGCAAAATAAACAGGAAAGACAAATATTTCCAGAGCTGCATTACTGCTAAGAGGCTGTGACTATGTTTTAAATAACGGGAACTTAGGAACTGAGCAATGTACTTTTAATAGGAATTGCACTGGGGACTTCCTTTAGCTCTATTATATACTTTAGCTGGAAATTCCCTCTACTGGGAGCCAGGATAGGAGAGGTATATAGTCTCTTCCAAACTGCATTAAGGTGGCTTGTCATGGAAGGTTCCAGAAAAAAATGTCCTTACATATTGTTTTGCTTGATAAAGAATCCCCTGGTACAAACCAAAAGTACACAGGTGCTTTGGGCCACAGGGCAGTTCATTTGTAGTCTCTCTGTGCCGGAAAGAATCTCCTAGCTCTCTCTTTAATGAGTTATTAACATTCAATTCACTTTTCGTTGCCATTTAAAGGCACCAGCCCCTGTAGCACTTTGCAAAAATACACCTTTTGAAGAAATATGTGCACAGCTTCAATTGCATGGGGATAAGTTACAAAAGAAGAATTAGAATGAATGTGCCCATAATTTAAAAACCTTTTAAGATTTCATTTCAAAAACCTAGGTAACACTGTGTTATCAATCAGTGTTCAACTCTAGAGATAGCCTTGGTATATTATAAGGCTTCTGAATTCAGAATTAAAGGAAATTTAAAAGATACACTGGCAATCTTCAAAAGGGTTTCTCTCTGTTTAAGTGTCATCGTCATCAATATGTCCATTTGCATATCTCAGAAAGGAAGAGCTCTTTGGTGTGTTTTATTTTAAACAATGATTTAGTTTTGATTTCTGGTCATAATAACTATTTCTCTCTACACTCCACACATCCAAGAAAGGACTGCTGCCCAACATACTCATTTGTATTCATCCCTTCTCTAAGATTATTACTTTAAAGAACATGAATCCAGATAGCCACAGGAAAGACCTTAATCTTAACTTCTATTAAGAGATTCACCCGCAGGGCTTGGAACAGTTGGAGATAAAATTGATCGGATAAAAATGTGATTTTTAAGTGACTTTGTGTTTAATTGGTCTCCCTAAATTGGCTTTTGTGGACTTGTTCACGCCCATTTGGAATAATACATCAAATGAGGTTTTCCTGTATTTTAAAAACATAGATCCCTGAGAGAAAGGATAGAGAAGATAGCAGCCACCACCGCCAACTCTGTGCTAATGTTTTGTCCTTGGCAAAGCGCTTTCCCAGCCTCCTTCCATCCTTCCAGCAATTCAGTGAGGTAGGCAGGACGTAAGTACTCTTAGCTCCCAACAATGTGTCAAAGAAGTATGAAAAACAGTAGATAACAAAACCCAGGTCTCATGCCATTGGAACCCTGTCTCTACCGGATTCAGAGAAAACATGAGGGCACCCTAGGGCTGTGTGGCAAAAAGTTAGGAACATCTGCAATTTACCTTGAAACCAATCCTTGGAGCAGGTGTCCACGTGATCACAATGGTTGTCTCGGTCACCTCGGTGTTGTAAGGTGGAATGGAGCTCTGAGGCTGCACTGCAGAATGGAATCAAGACATATATTCAAACCTCAGACTACAGAGGATTGCATGGAATAGTGATAAGTACTTTCGTTGAGAACCTCAACATAACTGACCAGTGGGTAGAAAATGTAACATAAGTTCCTTCATTGGTGACAATTTGGAGAAGATCAGGGCTTCTCAATCTTTAACATGCCACACAAATCATCCGGGACCTGGCTCAAATGCAGGCTCTGATCCTCTACGTTCAACATGGGGGTAGGAGTTTGCACTACTGACAACTCACAGTTAAGGAACTTAAAGGAGGTCCTTTGCCCCATGACATTACAGAATTTAATTTGTGACTTTCCATCATCTTGGGGATTTACTTAATGATAACACATTTCCCTATATTGGCAATATAAAGTCCCTTACAGAATGTAAATCTGGTCACTACAAACCAATCTTTTTTTTTTTTTTTTTTTTGAGATAGATTCTTTACTCTGTTGCCCAGGCTAAAGTGCCCTGGCATCCCCCTAGCTCACAGTAACCTCAAACTCCTGGGTTCAAGCAATCCTACTGTCTCAGCCTCCTGAGTAGCTGGGACTACGGCACCTGCCACAATGCTTGGCTCATTTTTCTATTTTGTTTAGAACAGACGGGGGTCTCACTCTAGCTCAGGCTAGTCTTTCACTCCTGAGCTCAAGTGATCTTCCTATGTTGGCCTCCCAGATGTTAGAATTACAGATGTGAGCCACTGTGCCCCACCATGATTTTGTTTCTTAATCATTAATTTAAGAACATGATTAAATTACATAGATGGTGATCAAAAAATTGCTTCACGCTGAATTATTCCATAATGATGACTGATTATTTTTGGTTGCAATAAGAGATGGAGATATAAAAGTCAAACAAAATGTGCCATCATGAAAGCGCCTTAAATTCTAAAATTTTTTTCCTAAATATATAATTATTCACGAAGAATAATAAATACTATTAAGAGTTAGTATTTTACCAGCAATATCAGGAATTATAACACAAGGTTATCTCACATTCTTTTAGCATTCTGACACAGTACTAGTATTTCTCTTAGCGAAATTATTCCTTTAAAAAAAGAAAAGATTTCTTCCCAGGTTTTAGCACCAAAAGAAAAGAAAGAAGGAATAAAGGAAGGAAAGAAGGAGGGAAGGAAGGGAGGGAGGGAGGAAGGGCATGCACATATAAACTAAATATAGTCCCAACAATCTTGCGAATCTTATTATAAATTCAGAAAAGGGAGGTCTCAGAAGATATCTGAATTGAATGAGTTAAGTTCAAGGATTTTCAGTGTGTGAATTCCCCTGGTCACATGCTTGTTGCCATCATAATTCCTCCTTCTTTACTTCCCAGCACAGTTCTGTTCCCACTGAAAAAAAATCCACTGGCTGCACTTATGTTCCCTTACATGAGGCTGGGAGAGGAAGAGTTAATCTCCAGGGTTACACAAATAGGGACTGAAAAGTCTTCAGCTTCCAGTCTTGTTCTGCTCCAATTTTTTTTTTTTTTTGTCACGTGGGAGTTTAGGTTCCACATTGCATTTCTTCCATTTGTTTTTCCAGTTTAAATTTTCATGTGTAATTTTTGTCCTTCCTTTTTGTTTTTAAAATTTTTTTTTGTAGAGACAGGGTCTTGCTCTGTTACCCAGTCAAGATTCACTAAATCCTTCTGCCTCAGCTTCCCAAAGTGCTGGGATTACAGGCATGAGTCACCACGCCTAGCCTAATTCTTTTCTTTTTCTTTTTAAAATACTGTGTGAGAAAAAGTAAAAGTTGTACCCGGGCCACTCTGTAATGACTACTTTAAGGGCTGAACTGAAGAACTACTGGTTGAGCGTTTCCTCAGCATGTTATTTTGATGGTGTGTTGGGGCAAGTAGGATGGGTGACCCGTGGTGCCTTCCAGTGACTTTGAAATCATACACCACTTGGGTGCTCCTGACTTCGCCAAAATTCCATGGCAAGCTCTGTATGACCATTTTTAAGGGCCCACAAGAAATAATTCAGAGAACAGTCAGTCTCTTTCATGGGACATCTGTAAAAGCCACAGCTTTTCACAAATTACCCTCTCCTCAACTGTCCTTAAGGCTGGGTGTTTCCTATGGCTTAGGCAAGCCAGCTAGCTAGAGTCTTCCCAAGTTTAGCATGAGGCTCCCTGCCTGGGAAGACCATTACAGGAAAATCACCAAACCACAAACCCACAAATTGATGTCAAACAAAGGATGTGACTGTATGAGCTATGGGTTCTGGCAGGTCTTGTTAGATGAACTGCTGGGCAGTTAAAGAAATAAAATTTGGGGCGGGGCCCATAGCTCAGTGGGTAGGATGCCGGCCACATACACCAAGGCTGGCAGGTTCGACCCCAGCCCAAGCCTGCTGAACAACAATGACAGCTACAACAATAAACACGCGAGCATTGTAGCGGGCGCCTGTAGTCCCAGCTACTTGGGAGGCTGAGGCAAGAGAATTGCTTAAGCCCAAGAGTTGGAAGTTGCTGTGAGCTATGATACCACAGCACTCTACCAAGGGTGACATAGTGAGACTCTGTCTCAAAAATAAATAAATAAAAATAAATAGGTAAATAAATAAATAAAAGAAATAAAATTTGTCTTATCAATACAGAAATAAGTTGAATTTTCCTTGGAAACAGCCTTCTCCTCCCCCCCAACTTTTCTCACATTTGTGACTAGAAATTTAGCACACGTTATAAAACAGGGAAAAGTTATTCCCAGGATTCAGCTTAGTAAGAAATTTAAAATAATAATTTCAAAAACATGTGAGCCCTGCTGATGTTTACAGCCTCAGGAATGCTTAAAGTTCAAATGAAGCCGAAGCTGGAGAACTCACTGGCTCTCCAACTGCTTACACTGGTTTATTTAAAACTGGGCTTGGTGGAGCTGTTTTTGTTAACACTCATTCCTCAATCGGTCATCTATTCAACGGATATTTTTGGCAAGTACTCTATGTGTCAAACCGGGCACTATAGAAACCTTAATCTAATAAAATTAGTTTTATTGACTATCAGTATTTAAATGCAAATATAATTATATTTTGTATATATATACTGTGCAGAGCATAAAATGACGCATCCCCTATATATCGGTGTCCAAAAGTACTTAAAATATATTGATCCCCACCTTCCACTTAATTATTACTAGTATTATTTAAAATGCTCTTTTCTCTTCTAAGCACACTATTTAGCAAAAGAAACTACATGAAATACGTCTTATGTTAAGGACTGAAAAAGACAACTGTGTTATGCTACATTTCCCTGAAATCTCCATTCTAATTCTGCACAAGACATCTGCAAGAAATGGATACTTATGATATTTTTTTAAGTATCCATTACATTAATTACATGAGAGGAGCTTTTAGACTAGTTCAGAACTATACTATGTAACATAAAATAGCAAAAGTTTAAGGTAAACTTAACTACAAATTAAAAGCAGGTCATATGCTTATGATTAACTATTGCTTAGGAAAAAAGGCTTCATAGAGCAAATTTAAATGGAAATAAATTTTTGGTAAATTATGAATTTTTATGGGGAAAGTTTATAGAGAATTTTCATTGGGAAATACATTTCATAGTTATTTACAAACTAATCCTGCCTTTGTATTGACTTTTTGAATGCTTTTTTAAATCTATATTTTTAAATTAGTCAAAGAATAAGATTTGTTGGAACCTCTTAGAAAATCGTGAACTAGTACATGGTTGCAATATATACTGAATAAGGTGCTTATGTTAGCAGCTTTCAAAACTCAAAATGTGGAGTTGAAAATACAAATAACATCCACCTAGAAATAAAAAGTTTCATAATTCTTTGTAATATAAATAGAAATGTACTTAATAGAAATCGGTTTCTGAATAGAAGCCTTCATCGTGATGTAGACACGTAGCAGATTTAAGACCAGTTCCTTTAAAATGTTGAGCATGGGGATAGAGGAGATCAAAAGTTGTTGTTAGTATTTTTCTCCTCTGTGGAATTTCAAGAGTAATTTAAGAGAAAAAGCTATTCTGTTCTGCAGAAGTACTTTAATCTTCTGCAGCCAACACTCCACCAATGATAAAGAAATCATTTCTTGGCTTCTTGTTCTATCAGTGGGTTTCCATTCAATTTGCAGAAGTTTTTTCTATTCTGCATTTACGGTTATCACTCAATGCCAGAAGTAACAGGATGCCGAAATACGCCCTATTTTTTTTTCTTGCCTTAAAGAGTATTTGGTAAATTCCTTTAATACAATAGAATTTAATTTTTCCAATAACAGAATGCTTTAAACCCAGGCTACTCAGAGTACCAGCTGGCCCTGGAAGACATAAGGAGGTTGGCAATGTGTGTGCACACTGCTTCCTTCATCAAGGAGATCTGGCTTCCAAAAAATGATCAGCTGAACCAAACAGCGCACTTTGTGATTTGCATTCTGGCACAAGCTGCTTCTCTTGCTGCAGACAGGTAGCAAAGAATTCATGAACTAGCAGCCAGTCCACAGAGCACACTTCTAGTATGTATGCTTTAATTTATGTAAAAAATTAGTGTACTAATTTATGTAAAATTTAGTATGCTTTAGATTATTTTTAAAAAATTGAATGAAGAATACAGAATGTCAATATAGCTAGGGACCTATCACTAAGAAAGGCATTTAAACTTTGACTTACGAGTGGTAAACACGCCAGTGACTTTGGGGCTCTGTTGGTTGCCCTTGACAGCAGTGAGGCTGACCGTGTACTCAGTGGCGGGCTGCAGGTTCCTCACTGGGTACTTGGAGGCGGAGGGCCCCACGTTGTATTGCTTGGGCTGGCCGCCTCGGGTAGGGCCCACGGTCAGTCGGTACCCTGCTATCCGGGCCCGAGGTGGCGTCCATATCACCAGGACACTAGTGTCTGTCTCATTGATGAACTGGAGGTTTGTGGGAGCATCCAGTTCTGGGGAAAAAAGACGAAACATGCCAAGAAATATTTAGGTCATTACTTACCATACTGAGCTCTTAAAGCTTCACTGAATCTTCTCAGTTTTCTCTCCTGAAAGCTGAAACTAAGCAAAACTCAAAACCCTGGGGGAAAATTGAGCAGTTCAAAGACCGAGTGAGTGCTGCATGGAGCTGTGCGCAGTCCTGTCAGTCAGGAGAGATGGCGGAACATTTTTGCTTCGCTACGTTCCTTCAAAAAGTTGAATTTTCCAGCAAGACCTTCCCATCACTCTCAGAAATTATAGCTGTATTATTACAATGGTATTTTTTTTTTAAAGGCAGAAGTAAAAAAAAAATGTTTTTGAAAAGTTCAGAATACCTCTGAACCCCACGGTTTGCTCAGAGCCAGACTGGTTAAGGAAAGAGGGAGAAACCTCCTAAAATGAGGGCAGGAAGCAGCTCCAGAGGGGTCGAAAGCAACAGTCTATGCATTTATAAGATCAATAGTCTCTTGCTAGGGAAATAAAAGTTATTTTATGGTTTGGATTAGACAACAATTACAATAACTATAGCATGCACTCAGAACCTCAGATTCAGGAGAGGATGCTGAGGAGTTTGCATCATCAGAGAGAATCACAAAGATTGTGGGTTTTCTCCTTGAGAATGATAACTACTAGCAGTTTCCCCACAGAAACTTCATCCATCTTTTGGAGGGAGGAAATCTTGAAGAGGTTGTCAGGTATAGTAATTCTGAGCACAGGCTTTGTAGTCAAGAAGATGCAGGTCACAGACCCAGCTCTGTGGACTCTTAGCTCTGTGACCTTATTGCAGAACTTTTTTTAAAAAGTCTCAGTTTTCCATATACATCCAATAAGCACAATAATATCGTCCTTTATAAGGTCAAAACAAAGAGTAACTATGAGAATTATGCTCATAAAGAGCTGAGCAGATGACCTGGTCCCACTAACACTAGAGACTTGGCAATTATCATTCTTAAATGAATTCTACTGAAAGTGTTAACAGCCTACATTATAACTCTGATCTATTTAGTTACATGAAAATGCAATCAGATTATTAATCCATGCCTCTATTAGCAAAGGAAATTCGATTCTCTTAAATTTCCTCCTCTTAGTGTGCCCTTCCATCGGTACATGCATTTTGGAAATGGGGTATCACTTAGTATCCATAGAGCTTGCCTAAGTTTTATTTTCAAGTTTACTGTGCTTTATGTTCCTTATATGTCCCTAACTGACGGGGCATCTTCCTCCTTCTAAGCTGTACGCCGAGGCATGACTGCTTTGCTGCCCCTCACCCCACGTTGGAAGTAAGGGTGGTGAATTTGGTGGAGAGGTGAAGCCAGGAGTGGGACGTACTGGTTGTCTGCTGTGCAGTCAGAGGCTTGCTCTCCCTCCCGTGGTTGACAGCGAAGACTTTGAAGTAATAGGTGACCCCGGGGGACAGCCCGCTGATCTCCGCAAAGGTGTTCCTGCTGGGGGGCAGCCTCTGCCCGTGCTCCCCAGGCAGGTTCACGGGGATCACTTCCACGCGGTAGCCCGTCACCGCACTCTGTGGGGGTGTCCACATGATGGTGACCTTCACATCCGTCACTTCCACAAACTGCAGGTCTCTGGGAGGGGGAACTTTATCTAACAGACAAGAGGCAAAGGGTTAGTCCTAATTCCTGCTGTAGATTCCGTTTTAAAGAGCCATTTTCCCTGGACATCTTAAGCAGCTCATAGAGCCTCTCGTTTTAGAGCTATGGTAAGTTTTGTCCCTTAACCAGACAATATGCTTTTTTGGCGTATATTTTCATAGTTCAATGAAAGAAGATTATGATATTAATTTTTAATCAAGAAGGCCAATAGCTGGCTACATTTCACCTAAATTCCTTAAATTTAGGGGAAAACGAATACATAAAATGTAGGAGCTGTTGCTAGAGGACAAACCACCCTCTCTCAGGGACAATTGTTCCTGTCCTCTCAGGATGCTAATGAAATGAATACAGGCCAAGAACGGCTTTGTTCTCCACAGAAGGCAGGTTAAAGATAACCCTGGCTAAGCTCTAAGAGATAGGGTACCACGGGAATTGTCTATTTGACGTTACCTGCACGTGGGACTCCAGTGGTTTCTTGCTGGATGAAGACTGGAGTACTTTCCTGATTTTCTTCCACAGCGTAGATGGTGATGTTGTACTGAACGCCAGGTTGCAAGTCGCTGAGGGTCACGGAGTTGGCGGTCTCAGGAAGGGTGAGTTCTGTGCTGCTACCTTCGACCGATGGTGAATAGACTATTCTGTACCCTACAGAGTCATGAGGAAAAGTAAGATACACAGGCTCTATGAAACAGAGGCTTTTAAAAAAATCATAAAACCTTCCTTTTTTAATAGCCCTTAGCATCTTGCTTGATTAGATAAGAGCTAGTGATTCTCTGTGACTCTTTTAATATTGCCACTTTGTATAATAATGATTATTCAGCACAAAGATGAAATAAGAACACTCATGCAAAGCTTTTTAATAATAAATATCATCCTTGAAGACCCACGATCCATAATAAATGTCAATTAGAGAAGCCATTAGGTGAAAATATTCGTGTTAAACCCATTTCTCCGCTTTGAGCTCTGGATGTTGGGAGCAATCCCTGAAGCAGCAGAAGCACAGTGTTGTCAAGCAGTGTCTGCGTCTTTTAGGGACGTGAATGAGAGGCAGGTGAGTCACCTAAGAAAGCAACTCAGCTACCTCTTTCAGAATAAATCTCACGGCGAGGTTTTCAGGAAGATTCCCTCCAATCCCGGGAATGCTTGCTTTGATGTGCCAATGAGCTGGCATTTTACAGATTGTGTGTGTGTGTGTGTGGGGGGGGGTAAGGAAGTTGGTAAATGGACTGGAGGAGAAATGACACATAGGAAATAGGGCTGGAAGACTTCAAGGTGATCAAATGCACATACACATCTCGGATAATTACATGGGAGATTGGAGGCGAAGTGCAGGTCTACAGGCGGAATCTCCTCCCTCCCACCCCTGCCATTAAGATTGACATAGCAGTCAAAGGAGGAGAAGGCTGGCTGACCTGTGATGGGAGCCTGGGGTTTGCTCCAGCGGACAACAATCGAGGTGTCATCAACTTGCTCCACACTGGGGTCAGGAGGCGCGTCGGGTGCTAAGAAAGAAAGAAGGCAGGGTGGGAGGAATGGTCAGGAAATGTCAAACCCAGGCCTGTGTTTGACAGAAAAAGATCCTTTTGACACCATGTAGCCCACGTGTACCTGTTGTCTGGGAAGTAGACAGGATCAGACTCTGCTCCCCTTCCTCGGATATCTGGTAGACATTTACAATGTATTTTCGGCCAGGAAGCAGGTCAGGGATGTTCACAGAAGTGGCTGTGTTTGGAAGATCTGTGAAACAAAGAGAAAA